CGAACATTTATGAATTTTTTTCTCATAATTCTCTATTTTATCTACCTATCTGTTATATATAATATACAAATTGCGGATAAAGTCAAGCGTAATGTCCATAAAAAAATACAGAAACTGACAAGATCACGTGTCAGTTAAGCAAAAAAAAAAAAAAAAAAAAAAAAAAAAAAAAAAAAAATGACGCATCCAATTTGTACGAGCGAATTGCTGGCCGTATTATCGTTCGGAGCAATCTCGTGCTCAGAGACTCGCGGTAGCAGCAACAACAGCAACAGCATCCCGTTTGCCAACGCGAGTGAGAAACGGTCACGTCGCGCACGCGTCGCGCGCACCGATCAGCTGCGAGGACATGCGACGGCGCGCCGCGGAATAATACGAGGGGGATACGGTTAGCCGCGAGTGCGAGGGAGACGCGGCTACAGAGATACGTCTCCGAATCTAGAGACGAAGTAGCGGCGGACGGCGCGAGGTGGCGCGCGCGCGACAAGCGACGCGATTGGCCGGTCGACGGCTGACGTCCGCGACGTTATCGACCAATGAGCGGCCGCGCCGCGGCGACGTATCTCGCCTCACCGAGGCGAATTTCAGAGGTGAGGTGGACCGACTGGTACACACGACTGCCAGCCGCGGCGACTCGTTTCCCCTTCTCTCTCTCGTTAACGCCGTTCCTCGTATCGCTCCGTCTACCTCTTTCTCTCTCTCCCTCTTTTTTTTACTCCCGCGCCGCGCTCCTCCGTCCGTCTCGCTCGCACGCACATACGCACGCACACACTCCTCTCGCTCGGTTCTCAGCCCGACTTCCTCAAATCTTTATTTCAGGCTCGACCGCGAACTCGGGGCGAACTGGTCGAAGCGCGCGCGACCGCCCCGGTTTTTTAACCGTCCTCACGGCAAGCTCACCGCAAGCGGCTACCGCCGCCGCCGTTGTGTCGTGCATCATCGTATATACGCGCGACGTATGTGCGCCAGGGCAGCACCCGCCGTCGCGGAGAGACGACGCGTGTCTAAATTTGAATACGCTCTGGCAGCGTAGAGGAGAAGCAGTGCCGTCCGCGCGTGTTACACCGTCGGAGTCTCCGTCTTCGCATCTCTTGTTCGCCACCGTCATCATCATCGTCGTCGTTGTTGTTGTTGCCACGCGTGAAAAGTATATTTCGAGAAAGACGCTCGCGCGCTCCTGCTGTGTGCATCTCTAGTCAACTTATCTAGTCCCCGCGATATACACACGTCGCGGATAAATAAAAGCTAACTAACCTATCTAACCGCGCGCGCCACGAACGGAGCGAGTGCGATCACGCACGCGTGTGCGCCAAATACGCACGACGACCTAAGAATAATTCACGATTCACGCCGCGACGACCGTTATTAAACCTGTACGTCTCTATAAATAATCGTGCGCCCTTTTCGCGAATGTGATTAACGGCGGAAGCGTGAAGAAAGAGAGAAAGATACGAGGGACTCGATTCCAAGAAAGTTAGCGCGATCAATCGCGATAGATCCTTTTTCATTTTTCATCGTTATACAAGCCGGAGAATCGTCGACTGGCAATTACTAGTCGCCGACGGATCGTCGCGTACAACGCAAGCATATAAACGCGCGAAGAGGAGGAAGAAGAAGAGGGTCCGGCTCCGAGAGAGTGTGCCAAAGAGAAAAAACGCCGATAAAGAGACACGCAAGACACGACGACGGGAGAAAGATCCGTGAGTGCCTGTTGGTTGATTCGTTCGTTGGTTGATCGTCGGTACAGCAGCGGTATCAGCAGCGACGGCGCGAATTAGTGTGCGAGAATCCGCATCTGGCGAAGAGGCGGAGGAGGAGAAAGAGGAACGGCGAGTTTTGTTTTGATCGGCAAACGATCGCGCCGTCTCGCGATCTCGCATCTCTCTCTCTCTCTCTCTCCCTCCCTCGCATCTCTTTCTCCGTCCCTCTCTCTCTCTCTCTCTCTGCCTCCGTGTGCAAGAGCGGGGGTGTATCGTGGTGTGGGGTGATATCGATCGCGCGCGCGGGACCATTGACGTCGTTCTGGAGAACGGCCGTACGTTGTAATAGAGAGAAAGAGAGAAAAAGGGGAAAGAGAAAGGAAAAGAGAGGACGCGACACACGCGTCTACCACGACGACACGACATCTTCCATCCATCGCCGGCGTTTGCGCGCGTAAATCTCGTCGTCAGTGCTGCGCGCGCGCGCGAGCGCCTTCTTCGTCGTTGTTGTCCTTCATCGCCGTCGACGGCCTCGAGCGAGATCGCGATCGCGATCGCGCGTCGCGTCGCGGCGCCCGATCTCGAGGATCGTCCGCTCGCTCGGCCTCGCTCTCGTTGACGCTCACGCGGGGTGAGATCGATCGATACGCGGCTCAAGCAAGGGACTCGAGTCGACCTCACTCTGCCGTCGTCGACATGCCCCGCTGATGATCCAGTAGTAGGCTACTCGACCCGGTGAGTTTACCAAACGCAGTAGCGCGGCGACGAGGAGAAAAGAAATATGTAAGAGGGATTGGCAAAAGAGAGAGAGAGAGAGAGAGAGTGAGAGGTATGCGGGTGGGAGGAAACCCTCTTTCGGTCACGGTGAATCTCCGTCGAGACTTCTCCTCCTTCCTCTCCCCTCCACCCCATTATCGCTGTTCGTTAGGTATGCGTGAGTCTTCTTGGACGCCGTCCAGGTCTCGATATTCTTCTCGGCGATCTCTGCGATCTTCTCAAAGACCCAGACCAGCCAAGACGTACACTGAAAAAAAAAAATTGTTAATTTGACTAAAACCGTTCAACTAATTACCATTTTTTTAATTGAAATATTTATATATTTAAGTCAAATAAGACATATTAAATCTAACATGACGTATATTTGACTTAAATATATAAATATTTCAATAAAAAAAATGGTAATTGGTTGAACGGTTTTAGTCAAGTTAACAATTTTTTTTGTTTCAGTGTGTGTAGAAAATTCGCGAGCATATCTGGTCCGAGACGACCGTTCGCGGATCGGTAATCTTTGATTCTTGGCGCGCACAAACGCACTTTTTACTTTGCGTCTCTGAAACTTATCATACATATTATTTGAAAAATATTATATTAATTTGGAAAATAAAAAATTAAAATTTTACGCTCCTCCTGCAACAAAGACTCGTCTTCTTACAAGATTTGGACTGTTATTAAAATTGGAGAGAACCGTCGTAGAATCAATGGTAATTTGTGACGACGCTGAATAGTATAATCGCGAGTAATGTAATCATATCGTGATCTTAATTTAATACCTTCGGTATCCTGCTCCTAATTCGACATCTGCAGTTGTCTTGTTCAAAACGTCGTAATTTCATAACTATTCCAAATTAGATTTATCACGATCTGACATTTTCTGACCAATATCTCATCTGAATGAAGATATAATTCCGATGATGAAGATGTATAATCCTCCCCCAGGATATCATATTTATTTATATTATTTTCGAGTAGTGTAATATGTAAAATATAAATGATTTGGAAAACGATAAATTTTTATAGATAAAATAAAATTATTTTTCATAACTATATTTTCGATACGATTAATCATTTTCAAACTGGAATTAATACTATGCTGATAAGACTTGTCTGAGAAACGTGTGTTCAGTAATTACATTGTTTACATACGCACACATATATTTGATATACAGTAGTATAATTTCTTTATCTAATTTATAGCCAGAGTGTGTTAAGCGGAGGAGGGATTACATGAAATTTACATATTACATAATTTATAACCGGGATAAGGAGATTAATGATAGACGTAATACACAAAAAAATATAAAAGTCTGACATTTCTGAAAATTCGTGGGAGTAATGGGCCCCATACATCGGAATCTCCATATTTCTATTTAAAAAAATCGATATTTTTTTATCTTAAGAATGCAATTTTTGTTTGAAAAGTCAATTGCGGCAACTTTTTCAGTTATAACTTTTCCAAAATTCGAAACAATAATTGTTACCATCTCATATAACAGCTATTTTATGTATATATGTATGTTAACAAACATTCGCTGAAATGTTTTAGTATCTTATCAAATTTCCGATAATAAAGAAAAATTTAATTACACTAATTTGCCGTTTTATCGCTATGAAATTTCTAAACAAATGCAATTTTGTTACAATGTATGAATATATAATTGTTATATTGCATCGCGATAACAACATACAAGTATAATAAATTTTTATAATTATTTCTTCAATTATCATAAAAAATCATAACGTAAATTGCTCTCACGAAGCATTTAAATCTTAATTATGAACTACACAGTTAAAGAAGCGCGTTACATATGTTGAAGCGAAAAAAATTAATTACGTAATAGCATGTTATTTAAGATTATCATCCATGGCGATTGTTAGGTCACCAATTCTTTTTT